TCGCTCGAAATCATCTGAACGGCGGTATGGCGGAGAGCAGAGACAAAGCGGGCGCAGAACAAATGCCCACAGCACGACAGCCTCTTCGTCGTAGTCCTCGCATCGCCGCTCTTGAAGCGGCCAAAGCTGCAAACACTGAAAAGCAGTCGGTCGACCGTCCTCCTCCTCATGCTACTAGGACTACTACTACCGCGGCAAAGTCATGATTACGTCCCGCTTCGTCTCTTTCATCACCGGATTCTTTGTCACCCGCGCGTGATGGATCATGATGCAGAGAGCTAATCGCCCTCTTTCTCTTTTGGTCTACCCAAAAAAAAAAAAAGAAAAAAAAAACCCTGGCTATTCGAACAGACCCAAGTACTGGTTGTCTTTGGCTGTTCAGGCGCTATGTAGCGTTCAATTTTCTTGAGGATTTATTCCGTGTCGCTGGCCAACGAAGCACAATGTCTCTTGCCGGCAAAAGTCTGTGCAAGGACACGTTTCACAAAATCAGCCATCGCGCGGCTGGACATTGCTTTCTTGCGTTATAAACGGCGTTGCGCATTTACGATACCCTTTTTTTGATGAGACGCGTGGATGGCTGGGAAAGCTAATACCTCCAGTCCAGGGCAGAAACTCATCAGCATACTCAAAATAGCGCCACAATTTGATTGACCATCGCATGTTATAACATGTTGAATACAAGTGTACATACAACAATGGAAATTTTCACAAGCATAATGACATTCATACATAGCACTGCGCTGATGATGTTGCATCACTTCAATTAGCATAGCGCCGCACATAGACCGACACTGCTTACATTATTTAGTCAGAACTTCCGTCTTACACACACACCTGCTTGATCAGAACCAGCCATTTCTAGGTCAAACAATAATTAGCTAGTCAGGTCAGTGATGGTCAGGCCATATTTAATAACTTCTACTCTGCAGAGTACGAGACATCTCACCCAATCTGCGTCGTCACCGTACATGTTTTTTCTGCTTTTGCTGGTATGTGGCCCGCACTGCCTTCATCCTCGGCCAGTGAGGCGCAAGACACGCCCACGTCTAAAAGATTCCTCGGAAAAGGGTTTTATTATCTTTTCTCATCCATTCATTCTCCACATGTCCCTAAGGGGGGGGGAATAGAGAGCATGCGGCACAAAATAAAATACATCATGGTTTCCCCCCCCCCCCCCCCGCGCCCCCTTGGCGTTGACACGACGTAGTTCCCTTTCCTGTACTTCCATGTAAAAGAAGAGATCAGGAAAAAATTCCATCTGTATCCATGCAAGCAATCATATCCCTGTACATAACTGCCTACAGTTGCACAAGGCACGAGAGTCATCGTCTCGTCTTACTGGCGTCCATAGCCACCGTTGCGGCCAGCTTCGGCAGACGACGGGGGCGGGGGCATGCCACGTCCGTCAAAAGGCGGGCTGCCAAAGGCGCGTGGATCCGGGGGTGGCATGCCGTTGAAGCTGGGCATACCTGGCGGAGGGCCAAAGCCGTGCGGTGGAAGAGGTCCGTTGAAGAAGCCCGGCGGGGGCATATGCATGCTGCCGCGCATCTCAGGCGGTGGTGGCGGCATGGCTCCCGGGGGAAAGTTGGGCGGAAACATGTGCGGCATGGGCATGGTGCGGCTGGGAGGGCCGCCGGGGAGCCCAGGGGGCGGAATCACCATAGGTCCGCCGCCGCCTCCGCGTTGCTGGCCGGGAGGTGGACCACCAACGCCGGGAGGGAGACCGGGGCCATGCATCCAGCTGGGCGGCATGTGGTCCAAGCCTGGGGGAGGAGGTGGTCGCTGGAGAATCTGCGTCGGGTTCGGTCGCGATTCGGCATCTGACGAGCGAAACGAGTCGTCCAAGGCGGGGAATCCTGGTGGCGGGCCTGGACGGCTCTGCTGCTGCTGAGCGTGGGCGTCGCGCTCGTTCATGGGAGATAAGGGCGACGGTTTCTGCGACATGTGTCCGCCATGAGCCATCATGGCCTGCAGCTGCTCGGAACGCTGGGTGTTGGGAGGGCCCGCGCGCATGAGGTTCATGAGAAACTCGGTGTTGCTGTTGTTCTTGACCATGGAGGGATCACGTTGCGACGAGCTTTGACTAGAAGCCCGCTGGTGGTGACCGACGAGATCCTGGAGCAGCTGGTCAGGACGGGCGTTCTGCGGCTGGGGACGGGGGGCGTGGATTGCATGCTGCTGCTGCTGCTGCTGCTGCTGCTGTTGCTGCTGAGGTCTGGCAGTAGGTCCTTCTCTGCCGTCATTCCCGTATTGCTGATACGGCTCCGGCGATGTGACAGCGCTCTTCTTGCCAACCTCACTGGCAGTCTGTTGTGGGGGAGAGAATAGCGATAGACCGGGCGGTGTGTTGCTGACAGTCTGTTTTTGCAGCTTGGCAAGCAATTGCGCAAACGCTTGCTTCTCGTCCTCGGGCCCAGCAGATCCGCCACGGCCGCTGGCGGGAGCCATCCCGCCGAAGAGGTGAGCAAACCCGGGTGGCACCGACGGTGCTGCAGTTGCTGGCGTGGACGGTTCCGTGCCCTGTCGAGGTTCTTCTTGGCCACCGCCAAAGAATGAGGTGAAACGAGACGATTTACCGGCAGGCTTAGGTTTGCTGGTCCCTTCTGTCTGCTCGGCCTGTGGCTGGCTGTCAATGGTGGCTTCGCCACCAAAGGCCATGAAGAACTTGTCTGGGCCCTGTTCAATAACGGGTGTAGACTTGGCGGGCTTCTCGGGCTCGACTGTTTCAGTGGCTTGGTTCTCCTGAGCGTTCTTAGCCTTCTTCATTTGCTCCATCCACTTTTGAAAGTCTTGCTGAGTGTGGACATCACGCTGCTCTTTGGCAGGCTCATCGAACCACTCCGGTTCACGCTCTGCCCGCTGATCGCGATCTCTGCCCCAGCGTCTATCGCCGCCTCGGGGATTCTCTGCGGGAGCTTCTGCATCGCGCTCTCGCCAGCTTTTCGTTCGGTCACGATCCCGTCGCTCAGGTGTGGCAACGTCAGCGTTGGCATCCGACTTGTTCCAGGGCTCCAATTTTCTGCCCAAGCCATTGCGAGTACGACCATCGGGATCTCTGTCCTTGTCGCGACCGAAAGCATCAGTCGTCTTGCTTGGGCGGTCTCTGTTTCCGTCGCGGTCACTGGGCTTGACCTCGTCGCGGTAGTTGCCGCCCATTTTGCCGGAGAAACGCTCCGCACCTTCGGCGCCGAAGCTCTTGCGAGGCTTCACGGTACTCCAGCCTTCGCCTTCAAGGTCACTATCACCGCGCCGGCGAAGCCCGTTACCTCTACCATCGCGTGTGCGGTCATTCTCAGCACTGCGAATACCGAATCGGCCTTGTTCTAATTCCTTGGCGGCCTTGTCGCCGTCTAGTAATTTGCTTCGAGATGAGGAAAAGTTGGTTCGCGGAGGCGCAAAGACTATTTCATCTGGATCTGGATACATTGCGAGGTTAGCCCGATCTGATCATACGCTTCGCGATGGTAGGGATGAACCAACTCGCGCTGTTGCGGGAAATGTGGCGCTCAGCTCCGGATCGACGGTTGGACTGGTCCATGGAGAAGGCATCGTCGTTGCGTGACCTGTCACTGAGGATCTTACTTTGAGTTCGGGTCTGTTGCTCTGCTTGAGCGCTAAAAGACAAGAAGAAAGAGCAGGTTGTTAATGGCGATGCTAGCTTGCAAACGGGTGCCGGCGGCTGCTATAACTCACCCCATCCACTCCTCGAGAGGAGGGAAACCGTCTGGTTTGATACATAGTGGCGAGTCGCGCAGGTGCAGCAGGAACTCTGCTGAATATCGAAGTGCCATGTCCGGGCGTGGTCTGCGCGATGCCCATCTGACAAAGGGTGTAGTGTTTGGTTTATGCCGCCGGAACAAGGAAGCGCGTGTGACGTAACGTTTGGAGGTGGCTACCGGGTTAGGCACGCTGTGGTCAAGTTGGTGACGAGGGGATGCGCAATTGGCGGCGGCTAGCTGTGTCGATGAGAGAAGTTGGTTTTAGGCCAAGGATGATGTTCGAGATGGGCCAAGGGCCAAAGGGCAATGCCAGGCTCGATATTGTGTGCAATCAACAGGTGGAGGAGAGGAAAGGGAGAGTCGACAAGGTGGTGGGGTATGGTGAGATTGCGTGAAGTGGAAGGGCAGTGATGAGATTGAGAGGGACGTTAGACTTAAAGTAGAAAGCGAGATTGCTGTAATAGAGAGGCGAGCGAGTTTGTGATGGCGAGAGGTGGCAATCTGGTGCGACTGTGTGCAGGCGTGTTGGGAGAAGAGGGTCGGTCGGGTGGTTAGGCGGTGGTGATGGTTCTGCCTGTGCGCATCGGCGGCGCTCGACGAAAACGTGTTAGCGGGATTTTGGGCTGCAGCTCGCTGTGGCTTGTGCAACAGCCAGTCAGACTGTTCTCGCCTATTCTTTGCTGTGGGTCAGGTGACTCTTTGGCCCTGGTTGGCTTGTCTCACTGAACATGTCCAAGGCTCCAACTCTGCTCTAGCATTAACGGATCAAACGTCGCAACGCAGCTCTCCTTTGGCATGATGGGCAAACGTTTCGACTTTACGATCAAACGTCATTCAACCTCGTCGCGACAGTTCGGGAGCATGTCAAAGGGCAGTATTCTGCGTGCCACACACAAACGCGAATGCCCTTCCTTGGCCAATCAATGGTTGCACTTGAGTGGTCAATGGATGCACTTCGCTATTCACTCACAACAGAAGCAAGTGCTACATTGTCTCTTCATTGACCTCTCTAGGCTCTCGCTTCATATACTGGATCACGTAGTGTCCCCATTTTCCGCTTCCCTTTGTGCTCATGACCGGCTCGTCATCCCTAGGCGACCGCGGCGCGTACTCGTCTAGATCAAGATGCAGCACCCTGATGGGTTCGACTTTTGCTTTTTCATAGGCATCCACCGCCTGGTGCGACGAGTGCACCCAGATGGGGAGTCCCAGATGGTCCGCGATGGCGTTGCCGTGCCCGAGGAGAGCGCTGCCGACACCCCGCGACCGAGGCGCCGGCGCAACAGCGAGACCCAATGCAATCATGCATGGCTCGCCGGCTGGGATGAGCTTGTGCTGAAAATACTGCATGTCCTCGTCCTCCAAAGCGTGTAGTCGCTGGATGGCGTCCGGCTCCCTCTTAGAATCTGGCTCCTGTGTCACCTTGTCGCCAGCCTCCGTTTCCGTTGCTTGTTCCTGCGGCTTTGCATCTGCTGGACCAGTCCACGGAATCAAAGCCTGCTTGACGTGCGGAAAGACCCAGCCACCGTAGCCAACAATATTTCCCACGTCAAGGTCAACGGCTTTGACAAAGACCATGTTTTTGCGCTTCAGGTTACCCAAATAACCCCGGCAAGTTATGCTGTGCATGTCGTATCCATCGCCACCTAGCTGCTTGACCATGGTGTAAGGATCAATATTTAGCGAATGAGTCACGCGAAATGTCGGCGCAGGCAGCCATGTCGGCGTAGTTGAGTGGCTGAATTTTGACGTTGAGCTTAGGTGCCATAGTGGGTGAAATCCGATTGGTTAGATAGGGAGCACAGGAAGATTTTCTGCGAGACCTAAACGAGTACGATCGATGGGACGATGCGGATGATTCACGTTCTTGTAACCGTGTGGTGTATTGGCAGCACTCGTCACCGGGCCGAAGGCGGGAGGCTTCGCTGCGTGTGTCACCGGCTACCTGCCCGCCCACTAGTTACCCTGATGAAGCTGACAGGCGTCCTCCAACCTTGTCAACCGCTTACTAAATTAGAGATGCTGCTCCCGTATGATACGTGTAGCGAGGCAATTTCTTTTTTTTTTTTCCCGGTTTGTTTTGCTTTTATTTCTTGCCCCTTTTGTCTCCGTATCTTGCACTAGTTTACAACTAATCATGTGCTTTGAGAGTTTGCTATTCTTCACCCACAAAACTATACCGTATGCTCTTGCAGACAGATGGACAAAATCATAGAGCGTGAACATGAAGCTGTGTAGAGGACACCATCTAGCCAACTTATTCGAACTCGGGCAGCCGACGCGTTAGAAGTCTAGCTAGGTATGCACGGCCATGGCTATAGGTTAGTGCCATCAACAAGATATCGATGCAGGTCGATGTCTTTCGCCGAAAATTCTCACATTCTCTGACTGCTGGAGTAGGCAAAACATGGCCAGCTCAGAGTTACGAATCACGGGTTGCATTATGCCATAGTTGTACCGCCATGTTGTCGGATTCGCCAGCGTCAAGCAGACGCCAACTGCTTTCTAGATCGATTGTGTAAACAAAATGGGAGAAAATGAAAACCCAAGGAAAAGAAGGAACAATAAAGAACTTTTTCCCTCTTTTGTTCTTACAGTTATTAAGTGAATCGTGCTACTATCAAAGACATTCCTTAGCCTGCCCCCCAACATTAAGTTAGGCATCCTGCATGTCAGCTCCGTAGCCGATGAACCCGTTGACAGGCCACCTCGCCTTGACTCATTTGTATTCCAAACCGACTTCTCCCACCAACACGAGAACCAAGATGACGACCTTTTCAAGATGCTCGGATTTCCAAGCTCTACGCCGACAATCCGAGCAACATTTGCTACGCCTGCCTAGCCATTCTTGCCACCGTTTTGGATCATGAATGGGACACAAAACGTTCTGGGGTCCGTGTCCGCCGCTCGTCTCGTTAACACCGTCAATAAAGGGCGGAAATACTGCGTGACCGAAGCGCAAGAGCCTTCGGTCTTTTGCGCCGTCTTTTCCGCGAAGACGCGAAGGCCGAGGCCGTGTAGGCAATACCCCGGCCGCTGGGCTTGAACACGAGGTCCGGAGCCGGTGGGACCCCCGTTCGGGGAAAGCAAGAGATGCAAAAAGCAATAGATGGTCCAATACGTCTTTGTGGGGCTTCTCTCGCGAAATTCTTCACCAGAAGCTGGTATATGAACCTTTTTTCTTTTCTCGGTCTTTTCCCTGGCTAACCACCTTTCTAGCCTGCTTACTGTTCTAGCCTGCCCGGCGCACGTTTTTCCATTGCTGCAAGGCGTTTCTTGCGCCTTTCGCACGCTAAATTCGGCGGCCGAGACGATGTGGGGATTATTACCGGGTATTGTCCCCCCAAGAAGGGAGGGGGCCGTGGGGGAAAGGAATTTTCCTCTGGCCCCGGATTTCAATGGCAATTCATTCGGCAAGGAAATTCACGTTGGGCAGAGCAATTGTGAATTCCTTTCTCTCCTCATTTAAGAACCTCCCCAGACTTCCTTTAAATTTTTTTTTTCTTTTTTCCCTTTTGCTGTTTAGAGGAGCCGAAACATTTTTTGCGCCCGCGACACCTGACAAAGCCAAGAAGTACTGCGGAGAGACAGGTCTCACGTTTAAAAAAATAATCCCCGAACCATGTCAGCGACTACGCCAGAGAAACACAGCGGCGGCGTCATTGACGGCATTGAGCGCACCATTAGCAACAGCTTCGTCAATGTCGACGGCGCCGTGTCGGTACCGCCTCTGGAAAAAAAGGGGAGCAGAGTTCGGGATGAGGACGAGGAGAGGCAGCAGCAGGTCGACGACAGCAGCGATGGGACGGCGGTCAACGACGACGACAAGGCGGGCGGGAAAGCGCCAGATGGCGGGCTGCAAGCTTGGCTGGTTGTCTTGGGCGCTTGGTGCGCATCGTTTTGCAGCTACGGCTGGATCAACAGTATGTTTTTTTTCCTTCTTCTTTTTGTTTTATACTTGCCCTTTTTGTGTCTTTTTTTTGTTGTTTATTTCTTGTCTTTAATTTCTTCTTTTTCTGTCATTTTTTCTTGTTCTTGGATCACAGCTAACATCAACAGGTGTCGGCATCTTTCAACAATACTACGCCCAAGGACCGCTCAAAACTTACTCGGCCAGCCAAATCTCATGGATCCCCGCACTGCAAATCTTCTTCATGTCCTTCATGGGCCCGCCCATTGGCGTCCTCTTTGACCGCTACGGCCCCGAGAAGCTCCTCGTCGCCGGCTCCTTTCTGCACGTCTTTGGCCTCATGATGGCCTCCATCTCCACCCAGTACTACCAGTTCCTGCTCTCCCAGGGCGTATGCAGCGCCGTCGGCGTCGCCGCCGTCTTCCTCTCCTCGATTGCCTGCGTGTCGGGCTGGTTCGACCGGCGGCGCGGCCTCGCGTTTGGCCTGCTCGCGACGGGCTCGAGCCTCGGCGGAGTGGTGCTGCCCATCATGGTGACGCGGCTCATTGACGGCGTGAGCTACGGGTGGGCGATGCGCACGGGCGCGTTCCTGATTGGCGCGCTGCTCGTCGTGTCCATTTGCACGGTGCGGCGACGCACCGGCATCGCGCCGCAGACGCACTTTACCGCCGCGCAGATGCGGGCGCCGTTTGCCGAGCCCGCATTCATGCTCATCCTCGGCGGCCTGTTCCTGATCCCGTTTGGCCTGTACACGCCCATCAACTACCTGCCGACGGCGGCCGTCGACGGGGGCATGGGCCGGCAGCTCGCGCAGTACCTGGTGGCCGTGTACAACGGCGCCAGCCTCGTCGGACGCCTCTCGTCGGGCATCCTCGCGGACCGCTTCGGGCGCTTCAACGCCTTCATCGCGTCGTGCTACGTGGCCGGCGTGCTGGTGCTGGCCATGTGGATCCCGGGCACCGACAACGCGACGACGGTGGCCTTTGCCGCGCTGTTTGGGCTCTTCTCGGGCGCCTACATTGCGCTGCTCGTCGCCCTCGTCGCGCAGGTGTCGCCGCTCCGCGAGATTGGCTACCGCAACGGCGTCGCCTGCCTGGCGCAGTCGGTGGGCGGCCTGCTGGCGACGCCGATTGCGGGCGCCATCATTGACAAGCCCGGCGGCCTGGTGGGCGTCAAGGTGTACGCGGGCGTGTTTCTGGTGGCGGGCACGACGAGCGTCATGATGGCGCGGCTGGTGTTGACAAAGTGGAAGCTAAGGGCGGTGTTGTGATGGGGGGAGGTGTGTGTTGGATCATCAATTTGGATGACAACGTGTGTCGGAGATGGGTGATGGAGGGGCTATACCTTGGGTACCTATCTTTTTCTTTTTTTTGTATAGAAGCATCATCAAGCGACACTATTCCTGGAATCTTTTTTTTTCTTCATTTTTGCATAAAGATACAATCAAGCGATCCTATTCATGGATTTTTTAAAGCACATCAAGCGGCAACTGTCTTCTGTTTCAATGTTCAACTTGTCTCATTACTGTGACATTGCTGCAACCTGCGCACGTGCCATTTTCGTTGCGCTAGACTTGGCGTCCATGCGAGCACGATTCGTATAGCTAGCAGCATAATATTAGTCCATGACACGAGGAAAGAGAATGTGTTTTCAGCCCTAGTAACGACGGGCTCGCCGATCACTTGTTCATGCGTGCCATTGCCTTCACATCCATTTCTTTGACTAACTAGATTTTTTCTCTCTCTTTTGGCAGGTCAAGGCCGTTTGACAACTCGGTGAAGACCGTTGATGACAACTGCAGAATGCCAGGGGGTTTCAACCAGAACGTGCATCTCTTTGTCGGCGTCGCGTGTGCAGTTGCTCGATTGAGCATTAAAGCCCAATTCGTATTGAGCTTCAACGCCACAGTCCGCCTGCCTGGGCAGTTTTTCTTTTAGCTTCGATAGGTGCTCGTAAGCCGAAAGGGGGGGGATCTAGCCGCGAGCGAATGGGAGGAGATTGCGCCCTTTCCAGCTGACGAACCCCAATAGACGAAGAATGAACAGCCTGCTGAGACCTTGTAGTATCACTGTAGAGCCACTTGTTTCACTTGGGGGCATTCTGAGGCGCTCCGTAACTAATGGCAACACCGAGAAGATGCTGGTAATTATCTTATAGGTGCGTGGGGTGGTACTGACAATTTTTTTCTTCTTCTGCTTATTAACTATTGCCATTATACAACTATAAAGTGCATGACATAAAAGGTATCGTGCCAATACATTGACTATAAAGGATCCCTGCTTTGCTATGCAGTCTAGATGGACAGGGAACCGCGCTCTTTAGGAAGTTTGACCACTTGTTTTTATTTCAATTGGCGGGCAAGCCACGATGACTGGGGGGAAGGGTCACAAGGGGACCCGTGAAGCTTGACCGAGAATGGTCAAGGTTTGGCAACTGCTGCATAATGATGCGCATTACCCGTAGAGGGTCGAGGACTAGCAAGGGGGGGAGGGGGGGTACAAGTAAATGTTGTCAACAAACTGGCATTTCTGGCACGGAGTCGCAGGGAAAAAAAAAATGAGCCAAGAGTTTCGAGGTGAGATGATTAGCTACCAAGATGGAAAATCAGTGTTTTGAGGGGATTTCGAATGTTGTATTCGTGGACCGCGCACTAGTCATGGACAGAACGATTCGTGTCATTGTAAAGTAAATAGGGGAGCACGGATCCAGGATGACTGATTAATGGCAAGCGAAAAGGAAATGCAAGTGTAATTGGTAGGGCTGTACGGAATACCTGCCGAAGGGGGCTCATCTCGTCTGGAACGAGAGATTGGGATGGAATCTTGTGGCTGGCGAGCATTGACAGGGCTAATCATGAAGAATGCCACTTACTCAGTATTTATGTTTCTTGTCCTTTTTTTCAGTGGTAAAGGGGGGGGAAAATGCCAGAAATCAGTGGGGGTCGGCCCCCCCCTCGATGGCGACTTGGGCCAAGCTTTATCAAGTGGCGAGTTGGTTTCGTGATGGTGGAACTAGCAAGTTAGCAGTGGCCTCGAGCCATGGGAGCGCCGTGGGTTATAATAGAAGGGGGCTTGTAATAACAGTAGTGGCGCGAGTTTACTGCATGATGATTGCCCTCTGTATTCGTACATTGTCGTTATTTTATTTCTCCCTTAATTGGCCTAGCGACGAACAACTACGTACTTTTCAAGACAAAAACTCCATTGTTGGAATGCCAGCTATTGTATTCGTAAACGTTGGAGGTTTCACCCCTTTTGTTGATCTTCAGCGCCTTTTTGGCATAACCCGGCAGTGGGATAGGACCTCCACTGAAAAGAGCCACGAACGCCACATACGGGCTTGGCTCTTTGTGGAAACTGAACACGCGACTACCACTTTTATTTACTGGACAAACTGGCAAACTGGGTAGTTTTTTTTATACCAAATTTTTTTAATTTCATCCACGTCCCAATTCAGGATTATAAACCCAATTCAGAATTCTTTTTTTTTCCCCTTACAACCCCTTTCCCCTTCTCAGTAATATTTAGCTTCTCGGTACACACCGGTACGCACCACAGTTGAACATTACTCGGCGTCTAACCGCGCCCTCGGCCCTATCTATCCCACTAATGACAACAATTTCACTTTGCCAACTTTGTATTATTATCATCCGTCGGTACTTTTCGGTAGATCCATCCGTCCCCCCCATGGCCGTTTTGCCCCTGCCCTCAGAGCCAATCCATGTACCATCCATCGTGGCCCAATATATCTAGCATTTCTCCCACCCCCTCGTCGGCCCGCTTCCTCACGGCCCTCCCTCCCCCCTTCTTCTTCTTCTCTAGCCGCCTCGTTGTTCTTTTTTTTTTTCCCCCTTTCCTTCTCTGGTTTTCTGGCCTGCCATTGTCGCTCTTTTTAATACATTTATCCCGGTCAAGCCAGAAAAAACAACCCCCAATTCAACATGGGATTGCTCCTCCAGCCAGAGGAAACTACAAATCACCACAACCACCACAACCACAACGCCTCCGCCATGGCCGGCCGCCGTTGTCTCGTCGCCGGCCGCCGCCTGGTCGCCGCTCTCTCGTCCTTTTTCCGCATCACCGACCGCACCTTTGTCTTTGCTCTCGCCGCCACCTCCATCCTCGCCAGCAAGTGCCTGCACATCTACATTCACTCCCAGGTCCTCTCCGTCGGCGAATTCATACAATGGTTCCCGAGCCTGTTTGCGCAGGACACAGTCATCCTGCTCCTCCTGCGCCTGCTGCTCGACACCAAGGCCCTCGGCCGCTTCGGCGGCGGCTGGTTCCGCTTCTTCGCCACGGCCTTTTGCACCATTGTCGCCCTGCTCCAGCTCTTCCTCGCCGTCTCCAACATTTCCTTTTTCCTCATGATTGGCGGCGAGCCGCGCTGGCGCAACGCCGGCCTCGTCGCCGACTCCAACACCTGGGCCATTATGCTCACCGGCCTTTGGGCCTTTGTCTCGGCCAACGTCGGCCTCATTTTCAGTAGCATGCTGTTCAAGAGCCCCCTGTTCTTCCTCGCCGGCATTGCGCTCGACGTTGTCAAGGCCACGGGCGCTCTGATCCTGAGCAAGATTGGCATCTGCGGCCGCGCCCGTAACCAAGCCGACTACCTCCCCGTCGTCAAGGAGGAGCAATACGACGACCTCGAGTCCTATCCCGAATCTTCAGGCAGTAGCGCGGCCCCGACTCGCCGCAACTCCAAGCTACGCCTGCTCTACATTGCCACCGCCGTCTTTCTCTTTTTCCAGCTCATCACATCGATCCTTCGACCGTCCTCACAGGCATTCATCTTCCTATCATGGACCGCCGCCGCCATGCCCATCGTCGATTACCTGCGCGGCTCCGACTCGCCCCTCACCAACATCATGCCGGTATACGACAAGGGCATGGACGGAAAGTGGAATGTTCCGTATGCTCTTTCGACGCCCCCGCACTGGGACTGGCTCCCCAAGCAAGGCAGCGCGCCGCCTGGTTTCGACGACTGGTACGGCGACGACAAGACGCACTACGACAATACCATGGATCCCATCAGCCAGCCCAACTACGACAAGGACCTGCTCGAGTCGCTCAAGGGCAAGCTTGCCGACGTTACCATCCGAAACGTCATGTTCATCTTTCTCGAGTCCACACGCAAGGATGTGTTTCCTTTGAAAAAGGGCGAGTACATTTATAACAAAATGGCCGAGACCTGGAACGACAAGAAGCTGCCCGAACAGGCCGAAGAGAGGGCGGCGACCCTGACTCAAAACGCACGGTACCTCACCGGCGACTACCGCGACGGCTTCGACCACAAGGAAACGCCCCGACGAGGTGGCATCAACGTCAACAGGAACACGCCCTCGGCCACGTACACGCTTAAGAGCCTGACTGGCGGACTCTGCGGCGTCAACCCCCTCGTCGCCGACATGAACAGGGAGTACAGGCACCACATCTACCAGCCCTGCCTGCCGCACATTTTCAAGGTCCTCAACGGCCTCAACGACGCGAGCGGCCGCACCGACGGCTTCCAGAGCCGCCCGTTTAACAACTCGTTTATGATGTCCGTCACCGGCCAGTACGACCACCAGTACGAGCTGATGCAGCGCCTCGGCTACCTCGAGGACGAAATGGTCGATTCGGAGTACCTGCACAGCGACCGCGCCGTCTTTGGCAACGTGACCGTCGAGGATGTGCGCTACGACGGCATGCCCGAGCCCGCGATTGAAGAGTACTTTCGCGACGCTTGGCGCACGTCGCGCGAAACCGACACGCGTCTGTTCCTGACGCACTTGACGAGCTCGACGCACTTTCCGTACGGCTTGCCCGGCGACGAGGTGTACGTGCCCATGGTGCAGGACGACGCCAACAATCACCTGCAGGACATTTCCAAGCACCTCAACGCTGTCGGGTACGTGGACCGCTGGGTCGGGCACCTGCTCGACATTATCGAGGAAGAGGGCGCGACCGACGAGACCCTCATCGTGCTCGTGGGCGACCACGGTGTGCCGGTGATTGAAATGGGTGGCGCCTCGCCGTGGGGCGTCCCCAGCATGGGTAGTTTCCACGTGCCGCTCGTCTTTTCGCACCCGAAGCTCCCCGTCGTCGACGTCGACGACCTCGTGTCCTCCATGTCGGTGCTCCCCACTGTGCTCGACCTGCTCCTCGAGACCAACGGCCTCAACCCCGCGCAGCAAGTCGCCGTGCGGGACCTGCTACACTCGTACGAGGCGCCGTCGCTGCTGCGGCCGCTGCACGCCGACGCGCGGCGCTGGTATTTCACGAGCGTGAGCCCCGGCGGACAGGCGATTTCGACGCGCAGCATGGACAGCCCCCGCTGGCGGCTGCTGGTGCCGCTGATCCAGGACGCCGAGTGGTACTTTTCGGATCTAGAGACAGACCCGCACGAGGAGAGGCAGACGGCGAGCTTTGACTTCGTGGGCATGCTGCGGGCGGTGGAGAAGATGCATGGCGTGGAGGCGGCGCAGTGGGCAGAAGAGGCGGCGTTTGCGACGAGGTGGTGGGTGGCGGATAATCATCAGCGGTGGCAGTATATTTAATGTCTTGAAATGAAAGCGAGAGAGAGGGTGGGGGGGATGAATGTATCATAGACTCTCTCTTTTTTTTTAATGTTTTTTTTTTATAGTTTTTTTCGTTTTCTCTTTTTACATGTTGGTGTATGTTGGGTTGAATATATACAAAAGACGAGTAGAATGCTCGTCTTTGCTATTTTCTTTTGAAAACATGGACTTGTAACATTTTTTTGACTTGATTCAGAGTTGGAACTGGCAAGTAGACGTGACTAGAAACATTTCTGTATTTTAAAGAGGACGAGAAACAACGTTCTGTTCTATTGACCTGGCTTTTTCTTTTTTCCTTTCGTGCAATACTTTATGCAGCCGACTGGGAGGTGAGGAAAAAGGGCACGTGTAATGTAGCTATACGGTCCTTGCTCTAAAGATAAACTCTCCTTAACTTCTGTTTATAGATTTCTAAGCAGCAAAAATCAAGAATACATTTTTTTTTTCTTTTTTCTTTTTTCAAAAACAATTTAAAAAAATCCATTTCATCTTGTGTGAAGAGACAAGTGCATGGCGGCCCGCATTGTCCTGCCGCCCCTTGTCCCGCCCTCCCTTGAACAAATGACTGAAACGCGCCGCAACGGACCGGCGGCACGACCAAGCCCAAACATGATGAACGCCTTGATAAGAGACAGGCACACTATCTAGTTAGTCAGTCTGTAAAGACACGCATGTATACGCGGCGATAAGAATAATTTAGAAACCTCCCCCCCGGACCTGTCCTACCATTATGAAATGCACCGGGGCTCGCGTGGTCCGTTCGTTTTGTGCCACTCATTTTTCCAAGTCGCGTTGTGTACGGAGTACTCTGTCTTCTCTTCTATTTCTTTCTTGCGCGCCTACCTACTCACCCGCATGCATAATAAAAGTCGCAAAAGGCGAAGCAGACACACGACGACAAGTCGACTTGGAACCTTGCCGAGACGCCTGAGAAGGGGAGGAGGATGCAGTGGGAGAATGGACAGTGTAGTTTGTGACTTTGCAAGAAAATAGAAAAAAAAGTTCTCAGTGTTTGAACAAGTACTCTTGTAGCGAGCGTTGGAGCTTTCAACGGTGCAAAAATATGCTTATCAACCAAGTCTGTTTGTTAGTTTGTTACCATCTGCCATCTGCGCAGCGTGTCGTTTTTTAATCCTGCAACATCGTCAGCCAACCGAGGACTCTCAACACCCATATTTACTTTTAGAATCTCCATCTATCAATCATCGGCCATGACTAGAGATCCCAGATACTATGCAGATCCCCTTTCATATCGTTTCTCCGAACCTGATGGTGTGAACCTGATGGTGGGACAGGGGGTTCACAGTCCAGCAGGTGGGTTTACTATTTAATATTGGCGCTTGCATCTGCTTTCCCTTCTAGAACGTGCGGGGTTTCCTTCGACTGTACTAATCCGGGGAACCACCAGGGCAAAGACATGCGACACGCCAGAAACGGGAACATGGCCGCCCCGAGACAGAGCCTGCCCCAGCCGAGCTCAGCCCAGCCCAATCCAGCCACACTGCGTAAGCTTGACGAAACAAGGAACAAAAAAAAAAAGTGTGCGGCATTTATCGCCAGGGGTCAGATAAGAAGAATGCCATTTTGCAATTGGGGTGTCATGAACGATAGTTGAATATGAAATATGAAGCTGGGTAGGATTGCCAGGTTTGGTGTAAAAATAGCGCTCGTTAAACAAACAGAACCATGTCCCTGGTAAGTATTAGTATTAGGTAGTTGCTTGCGGGGAAGTGAAGCCGGGGTAATAAAGAAACCAACGAGCTGAAACAACCTCGGCCTTTTAATTGAGCCTCGTTCTTGTTCTTGTATATTCTCTCTTCCCCCCTTTTCTCTCTCTCTCTCTCGTTTAGGTTTCCAGCGGGCGTCCAAGTGGGCTCGCGAAACCAAAGCCAACAAACGGGCAACGTCGGGATGACGTCTACAATTTAGATTCAAGATTCCCCAACCCATCTGTCCTGCCCTCTTCTCTGTCTTTTTACCTCTTTTTACCCCCTCTCGGTCTTGGACCAATTCTTTTCAAGCAGATCCCCGCCATCTACAAGCTTCCCGAGAGAACAAACAAGACCGAATTACCCCACTGCACATTATTCTCTCGGCGTCAAAAAAAGCCCACCACCACCGCCACTCACGACGAGCCCAAGAATAAGCTTCCAGCCTGATTCGCTCCTCATCCCCCACGTCGTCATCAATTTACACTCTTATCCCTCATTCTTTTAACCTTTCCCCCCTCTTCTTATTTTCTTCTCTTCTTCTTCTTCTTTTTTTTCTGTATATAGAACATGAATTGATCAACATCACCATCACCACCACCACCACCCACCCAACCCACCATGCCCACCTCTGAAGCTACCCTCACCCAGACGCCGCTGCACGTCCTCGGCCTCGTCTTACGCTCACTTGACAGCCTCCGCTCGCTCGGTTCCGCCGTCCTCGCGCACCCATGCCTGCACGCCGCCTTTGCCGAGGACCCCGCGCGCATCACCCGCGACATCCTCGACGCCCAGATGAGCCCGTCCACCGCACGCCTCGCCTACGCCGCCCACGCTGCCCGCCGCGTTGACCGCACCTCGACCACCGCCGTCCGCCGCTTCGCCGAAGACTGGCTAGTGCCCTTGGATGACCGCGCCGTCGCCGCCGCCGCCGGCTCCGAGACCGGCCCGCTCGGCGTCTGGCCCTGGGGCCTGTCGCTCGCCGACGTCGTGTCTATGAGCAGAGCGCACGGCGTCGTCGAGGACCTGACGGAGCGGCTGGTCAATGCCGCGCTGCCAGTGTGCGAGGAGGACGGCTACCTTTTGGTCGGCGACGGCGACGGCGGGGGCGTCGCGCTGCGGGAGCGCGGCAGGGCGACCAAGGCGGAGACGGCGAGGATTCACCGCATGCTGTACGGGTACGAAATTTACTGCGGGCTGCTGTTTAGGGATGAGCACGACTGCAAGGCGGATTTGAGCTGGCGCACAGAGGTTAATTTTCAGCTGAGCGCGGCCCTGTATAACGAAAATGTGGTCAAGGCGAATAATCAGCTGGCGTGCATTCACGATTTCCTGGAGAATATCGTCTTGTCAGGTGAGAAAACGCCCTCATCGAGTGAGATGCGGTATGAGACGCTGACTGAGATTCGCGGCGTCAGCATTCAAACAAGTCGCCATGTACGATGTAACCTGGGGCGCCCACGAGGTCGACTACCTGTCCACCGGCAGTGCCAATGAGCACGTACAAGCACATGTAAGCTTCACCCTCTGATCGTCCTCGCACACACACACGCACACACGCACACGCACACACACACACGCAACATCTCATGCTCATTCATGCTTGGTTGCTAGCTCTCACTCGGGCTCGATTACATCTACAAGCTCGCGCAGGCCAACACGCCCCTCCCGCCCTCCGCCAGCCCCGACGCGCGTCTGCAGCGTTTCCGCCTCTTACGACGCATGCTTCTCACGCACCGCTACTCGGCCACGAGCGCGCTTCCCCCCCGCGCCGCCTACATGCTCGCCAGCGAGCTCAACGCCCACAGCCGCGCGCACCTCGCCAAGACGGGCGCCGCCGAGCGTCGCCACGCTTGCCACTTGTGGGACGAGCCGGCCGGACCGCTGACGGCCGCCGACGCGGCGAAGCGGGAGCGCGCGGTGGAGCGCTGGGCGGCCGAGGGCGCGGCGCGGGAGGCCGAGGTGGAGGAGAGAGAGTGGCCGGCGATGAAGAGGTCGTGGGCGAAGCGCAAGGACATGTACGAGCAAGGGTACAGAGGGTTCTACATGGAGCATTTTTAGAGAAGACGGATTACACAAAAACATGGGACGGCGTAGAGGTTCTTTTCATGGGTCATAGTTATAGAGTAACAGTTATTACGTCATTGTTAGGAGTTTCAATCTTTTTTTTTTTTACATGAATAAACTTTCATTTTATCAGTTACCGACATGTACAGACTTTTTGTCTCTCCCCACTGTGTAACTCGTTCAAAAAACCGCCCATTACTTGGCCGCAGCGGCAGCGGGCACCTCCTCCTCCAGCGGCAGAATATTGGGCAGAGGACCAACCGGGGTAATGGACAGCGGGTTAATCTGCGTGTGGCTGCGGGTGTAGTGCCACTTGATGTGCTCAAACTGCGTCGTGTCCTGGAACGCGGGGTGCTTCCAGTACAGGTTGCGCATCCACGCGTGGATGGCCGGGTAGCCGGAGCGAATGTCGCGAATGTTGCACTTGAAGTGCTGGACGTAGACGGGGTCGAAGCGGATGAGCGTTACGTAGCTGTCAAAAAAATTAGCCACCGGGTCTAACCGTTTTTTCACTCCCGTTGGGGGGGGGGGGGGGGGGACCGTACAGTCGAATGTCGACTTCGGTCAGCGTCTTGCCAAAGTAGTACGGCCCTTCCTTTTGGCCCTGGAGGTGCTTCTCGACGCGGTCGAGCGCCTCAAAGACGGAAATGACATTGTGCTCATAAGCCTCTGCCGTGGTGGCAAACCCCGATTTGTAGACGCCGTTGTTGATGAGGTCGTACTGCCACTTGTGGGCGTCTTCAATTTCACCATGGAGCGCCTCGGGGTAAATGTCGATACCCCGGTGCTTTTCATCCAGCAAGTCGTCAAACTGATCCTGTTAGTGATTTCTCTCACTCCCCCCCCTCCCATGTACACGAAAAAAAAAAAAGCCAAAGACATACCTCGGATCCAAAAATGCGCAAAATCTCACTACTCTCATTATTCACAATCTGCTTCGTCTTCTTGTCGTACAGCACCGGCACCGTGAAGCGGCCCGAATAGTCCTTTTGCGACTCATAGTACACCTCGCGCAGGTGCGTAAACGCCTCGTGGCCGGGAATCGGGTCGGGAATCACATTCTCGCCGGGCTCCTTTTCGTCCTTCGTGACAAAGCGCCAGCCACCGTTGCCCAGGTGCCAGTGGACGACGGAAAAGGTGATGAATTTGTCGAGGCCCTTGAGCTTGCGGGCGATGAGTGTGCGGTGGGCCTAGAGGTTAAATTAGCAAAGGACTATGATTTGGAGAGAAGAGGGAAAAAAAAGGATGACGACAAATAAGGGGATGCATACCCAAGGACAGGCATAAGAGACAAAGAGATGGTAGCGGTCCTTTTCGGGAGGATACTTTGCACCGGCCTCGCGAGAGATGTGGTCGCGGAACGAGCTGACCTGGCGCTTAAACTCGCCCGACTTGTCGCCGCGGGCGACCCAGTCAGTGATTTTGGCGGCGTTGGACTTGACGAGTCAGCTTCAGACATTATTCAAAATAAAACAAAAAGTTTCAACACAGACATTGTGAAGCTTACCATTTTGATGGATTGCGTGGAAAAAGCGGCCGTGTAGAAGGGAGCTCGCGATGGAGAGGTGGCTAGAAGACGCAACGACCCCGCGCTGTAATGACGGAACCGAGTTGAGCAGTGGGGAGCTGCACCGGCCGAGACGGATGCACGCTTAGCGACGGATAATAGTATACTGTGTTGCGAGAGCGCTGGACGGCTGAGCTGCGCAATGTTCATTGGCAGCTTTGTTTTCAACCGTAGATCAAAAAGATTTTTATTGATGGGTACAATGAAGTCTGTTTGCGGCGAGCTTGTTCGACTTATAAGTAGGTATACGGAGCTGGGGCCGGGCCCCTCCACGGGCAAAAAGCTTAGAACTATTTAGCGGAAGCTGACGATATCCTGACCTAATCAGGGCAGGGGGTGCTAGAGGAAAACGCACTAAGCCGCTTCAGGTCAGCTAAGCAGTTGGTTGAATCATGAAGTGATGACAAAACTAACCTGCGCTGATTAATCCCGGCGTGCGGTAGTGTACCGATTTTTTGCACTCAACTTGGGCGGCTTTGGGTTTGTCCAGGCGACGCTGGACCCGAGGGGACTTCGCGTACGATGGGAAACAAGATGAAATCTCGGAAGAAATCTGCGTCAAAAACGATGCGTGGAAAAAAGCCTGGGAAAAGGCCAGTCAAGCAGCGTGTCGTGTCACAACGCAACGTCAAAGTCAAAACCGCAAAGGCACTGCATAGCGTCATGAAATACATGTTTCGTTCATCAACTGTAACTCTAGTCGTAGCTTTTACGTCTCTAATCCTTCCTCTATTCCAACGTCACCTTCACGTAAGGAACGTCAACATCCTCCTCATTCGCGTCCTCTACCAGCGCCTCTACAATCAGCTCCTTCATGTGCGCAGGCACAGGCTTCTTGGTCACCTGCTGAATTGCCTCGCTAATCTTGAGCGGTAGACGCGCCTTGGCAGTCGGCATCCAAGCGCCAAATAAGAAGCTGACGCTGTGGCTGAGCGACAGCACCGTCAGGCCCTTGGCCTTGAAAAAGTCGACCAGCTCCTGGATAGTTATATCCTTGACCTCGTACCGGTCCCAAATCTTGTCGAGCACAACCTTGCCATCAGGGCCAGTGTACTCGACCTTGGGACTGGCAATCGGCTCTGAGAAGCCAAAGAAGGGCAACGCCAGATTAATGAAGCCGTTCTTGAACTGCTCAATGTCGTCCTTGCCGTCAACCACCTTGTACAGCTCGAGAACAACGAGGCCAGTCACAAGAGCGGTGGTAGTGGCAATGGCAGGAATAATCTTGCCAGCAATAAATTTGGTCTTGTGTCGGTCCGCCGGATCAATCTTGTAATTCTCAGCACGCAGGTTGCTACATGCGGTGATGAAGTCAATGTGGTGATTCGAATCGTCATCCTTCTCAAAGTCAACAGGCTGTAGCTTGAAGCCTGCGAGGCTGCTGGGAGATGGCAGAGAAGCTGTCAGCCTCTGCAGCTCATCTTCATCTGTAACGATGTCCTTGTTCGGATCAGGTTCCTTGTCATCCGCTTGGATCTTGACTCGAGAGTCGGGATTGAAATCAGGAACAATGACATTCTCAAGCTCGCGCAGATAAATGGCCTTGTCATTGCCAGGAGACTTAATGTTGTAGTTGAAGGCGTGGAGGCTGGCGGCAGCCACGATGAAGCTAAAGTGGGTAGGGTTGTTGGCATCAAACTTGAGCGCGTCGGGGGCGCGCTTGGCTCCGGACCAGAAAGGCACGCCAGAAGATGTGGTTGAGTCCTTGGGAAAGTTGTACAGGAGTTGCTGAATCTTGTTGGCAAACTCAACCTCGAACAAGTTCCTGGCCCATGCAATGCAATCCTCAAAAGTTCTGGGACGGTCCGCAGTCAGATAGTCTCGGATAGTCTCCAATGTATCCTTCTGGTTGCCGCCCTGTTGGAGTGTGGTGGTCAAGAAATCGGGCTGGCTCAAGTACAAGTTAACGGTCTGGGGAGCGTTGACAAAGCATCGCTCAAACATGTGCTCCTTGGCCCAGGCAATTGTGTGCTCGATACGGTTAGGGAAACTGCGAATTGTGCACATTGGAAACTCCTTTTCGGGGGGATCCTGGGAGGAAGAATATGATTCCGTTATGTTCGGCAAGATGACCTGAGTGTTGCCTTTGGTGCCCAGAGTACCACTCTCGAGCAGAGGTTTGCGGTAAAAGATGCAGCGTCTGTCGACGTAGGTTCTGGCTTCAACGTTGTCCAAAGCATTGGTGACACCGTCGAGGCTGTTCCAGAAGTCGGCATTGAATACATCCTCAGTTTCGGCACCAACACGATCACGGAAGGTCGTAATATGGCCTTCGAGATCCGGGTTCATGCGCTGAACAGCCCTGGCCGCGCAGTCACTCTTCATGTGTCCCACATCGGCAGCTCTAAAGAGGAACTGGCGGTTCAGGTTACTCTTTTCAATCGAATCATTGTCAGTCACAAAGATCTTGCCGTTGGGCCCAGAACCCAGTCCCATCATGGCCCAGTTCTTGAGCATCTCACAGCCAATGGCGCCAGCGCCAACGAGGAACTGCCTCAGGTTTGCAATTTTGTCCTGATACTCCTTTCCGAAAACGGCAATCTGGCCATCGTAGCGGCTGCCAATAGGCTTGCACAACTCGACAGTACGTTTGGTAGAGGTAGGAAGAGACTCTAGAGAGTCAAAGTACATCCACTGTTTGATCGGATGAAACTTTCCAGAGACAGCCTTGAGAATTTCTTGCGCTGCAACACCACCAAAGAAGGCGGCCATAGGGCAAAGGTCGCCGAGAGCCTGATAACTCAGTTCTTTGAGAAGCTTCTCATCGACCTCAATCTCGAGCTTCTCTTCTTCGGCAAACTTCTTAGCCGCACCGATTACAACAGCGGCATCAGCGTCATCCATGGGATTGGGAAGTCGACCTTTGGCAACTTGGAAGGCATGTAGGGCCTGGAACCCAAGATGCAGTTGCTGGGGGCGATCAAATTTGGCATAATCAGAGATGAGAAATTCAGGCTCCTTAACCGAGTCGGTGTAGCTCTTGAAGTCGAGAATCTTCGGCATCTTGACTTGCTGGTAGATACCTCCGCGTTTGTATTGGCCAAGGCCAGAGACGTCGCCAATGGAGAAGGTGTAGGGCCCAGTAACGGTGACCTTTTTTGGGTCACAGCCGTTGAGGGCTTCCATTCCCTCAACCTCTGAGAATGTAACGTAGTCGCCATCCTCGAGACCGTGTCGAGTTTCGTCCAGAGCCGAGACAAGACCCTCCTCGTCGATGCCTTCAATGATTCCGTGCGTGGGTGTCTCGCCAGTCGGGTCTACAATAGTAAAGTTCTTTCCGAAATCACAAAAGAGCGATCCAAACAGACCATAGGTGTCAGCGATGACAACGTAAATGCCCTTGGAGTGGCAATAGTCGGATATAAGTTTTTGTAACAGGATCGGAACGCCGGTAAGAACAACAACTTGGTATTTGTCGAACTGAGAGAGATTTTCGTCAAGGCTAACTGGGTTAGAATACGATCGCCGTTGAAAAATGGCTTGTGACTGACCTGGGCGAGTCGTGGACGCTGACCGGGGTGTATGCGTTCAGCTCCGCTACCCTGGGGGCTGTGACCTGGTCTCTGGGCTTGCCAACATCGGCAGGAGTGAGGAAGAATTGGGAGGAGAGGTCGGGCAGGGCTACGGGGGTGCGATCATAGACCGTCAGGCTCTTGACTCCAGCAAGGGCAACGTTCTTGGCAATCTCAGCACCGAGGCCCTTCAGGCCGACAACGAGAACGTTGGAAGCACCCATGCGCTTCATAGCCTCGTGGCCAAGCACATAGAGCTGACGACTATAGAGGGACTCGTCGATCTCGGACTGTCCGGCAGCCACGCCGTCGACTTGCATTTTGGAGGTAGAGTCGGTAATGCCCTGCGGGATGATTAGCCATCGCCACCTCAGACTGGGCGAGCGATGCAGCGCCCGTTCGAGCCAGAAAGACGAATGTCACATACCGACATGGTTCTTTTAATATCTGGTTGAGCTGCTCCGCCGGAGAGCTTTCGCTTGCCCAGTGCGCCTGAGCCAGGTAGCTGGGAAGAAATCTTGAAGGTTGTGAGCTAGCACCCAGGTCGAGCTCTACCCCGCCAGAGGATGCCGCACGAAGGGAAGAGGTCTGTTGCTGGAAAAAGTGTCTGGTGGCGGACAATGGAGCGTTCAGCAAACACTCAAATGTTGGGAATCAGTCGTTGAGTTTGCGTTTGTCAGAAGAGATGCGTAGGCAGTAGAATGATGGTTGCCGGTGTCCGGAACCGCAATTGTTCGATGACTATTTAGATGATGCAGGCATGCTTAGCTAACGTGGTAGCAGCTGGCTCATGAGGAGGGGCAGTGCCAGGCAACCGGTGGGGCGGCAACGCGGGTGTGTAGAAGGAGATGGAAGGACAAGGCTACGACAAAGAGAATGGTTGATAAAAGTTACCCGGTCGTGAAAGCCGTTATTCACGAGGGCACAGAAGACGGATATTTTACTGCTTTTGATTTATATCTGACAAGCTAGACATGAAACGTGTTTTTCTATCGGGAGTTCTTGTGGCGCATTTTGCGCGCTGCTCCATTTCCGCTAGGCACTAAGCAAACAACGAATCTCGAAATGTCTATTTGACGTTCTTGAGCTCAACATCACTATAACGCGCGATTAGCTATCGTGGGTCCATCAAACGGTTAATGTCCAGCTTACAAAATGAGGTCGGCATTGGCAGGAATGTGGCCGGGGAAGCCTCTGCATAGGTAGGTCGGGAAGTTAGCATACAACAGAAGGTGCGATGGTTTGAGGCATCAAGCAAAGTGCTTACCGGGCGCCGTAGCCAAAGTCACTAGGCATGGAGTCAGTACCGGGCGAATTCAATCTACGTAGCGGAAGAAACATACCTGCTGATATCAAGGGTGGCCTTCTCGCCAACCTGCATCTGGGTAACACCGTCATCCCAACCTGGAGTTGTGTTAACCTTTAGCGCGCAGGTGATGGTCAACTTTGTATTCACCTCGAATGACCTGGCCGACACCAATTTTAACCTCAAAGTCTCCGCGGCCGACAGAGGAGTCGAATCTGGGAAAAACGTTTGGTTAGAAAAATTGAACGCGGGGTTTTGTGAAGCTCCTACTTGTTGCCCTTCTTGTCAGACTTGCTGGCATCCTTCAACCAGCCAGTGTACTCGATAACGACGGTCTGGCCCGGCTTGGGCTTTTCGCCGGAGCCCTCCTTGATGATAGTCTTGGTAACACCCATTTTGCGAGATTTTGTATCAACAGGATTTACAAAGGAACGGGAATGCAAGAAGAGAGCCCGCAGCACGAAACAGCGGCGATGGCAGGGTTTAAAAGAGCGCCATACGCAGCTTTCTCAGATGGCGGGACAGGATTGCATGGCGGGGCTGAGGGGGGTATCGAAGTACCTGAAAGCCCTCCGTAATAGGCGGCGAGGGTACGTACCTGGTACCTATTTATTGTACCGCCGAGAAGGGTGGAGACCCTGTCGTCATTAAACCTATGAGAGGTTTCTAGAGCGGGCGCCAAGCGGGGAGCAAGAGGCAGTACAAGACGCTACAAAGTGTATACGCGCAGCTGGAAATCTCGCAGCGAAACAGCGACCATCCATTTATACGAAGTGCAAAAACTAGCTAGGGGTAGGTGAGAGGCCAGCATGATTGGATCTTGCGTGGTGCTACTTTGGGCATTTGTGGTTCCGCCACCAAAAATGCAATGGCGCCATGCCTTGCTGAGTTGACTCGTGGGTACTCTGCAGGGCGGGCGGGCTGTCAGCCCCATCAAGCCCATTCCGCAGCAAACAGAAGTGCCAGACTGATGCAGTTAGGTAGCTTGCTTGTACCTTTCATGTACTTATGCCCGCTGCCACAAGCGGTGCCTCGGACAATAATCGACCAAATGGATTGGACTTGTCGAGGTATGATTTCTTTTGGCCAGTCTATTCAAGGCAAAGACGGGTTGTTCGCGTGCCCAAACGCAGTGAGCAGCCGTAATTGTGGAAGGTTATCAGCGCTACCCTGCATCCGTCCTCGGGGTTGCAGTATTCAGGCATTAGGCTACGACAAGCTGAGGCAATTAATTTCACGGCATGATGAAGTTGTAAGAGCGTACCTGCCTCGGCACACAACGTTCTCGCTGTGAATCGTGGGGTATGATATGACGCAGCCTTGCATCGCTGCACTCCGCAGCAAACTAGCGGGGCGTTCGAATCGTTTATGCTAACAGTAACTTACTGGAGGGATACTTGGAACAAACATGTATTCACTGGGTGAACGGAAATATCAGATACTCCCTTATAATAACGGTAACAAATATTCACGGGAAAAATACAGCTGGTAACTGAATAGTACGCAGCCTGCCTTTCCCAACTGTCAGCCAACAGCTATGGAATGCATGGAAGACGAAACACAGAAAGGCGCACTATTGAGAATGATAAGCAGTGGGATCAATGAAGCTAGATTGTGACTGTATTGTGAGTAGAGGGTGATTCCAAAACAGGCGAGAAAGTGAACAATGAAGCATCGCCAAGGAGGAAATTGAGAAATACCTGAATTAGCAAACGTAATGGTACATAGGTAGAAGACGCAAAAGATATTTATCGAAATGTGAACAGCTGATGCCTAATCACCCTTTAGCTACAACTCGTCGCCAGCTGTCAGCTCTTGCCAACTGCCACGTCTTGTTAGCCCAGCAAACGCCGAGTCAGCTGGCCATCTACGTTGCTTCACTTTCATCAATACACCGTCTATTGCTTACGCCTTTTAAAGTCCATCTTCTGCTGTTGAGATTAAATAGCTCCAGGTATGCTCGAATGAATACTTATAGCAGCCTGGGCCTCTCACCATCAAGCCTCATTTGTCCCTACTTCGCCGCCGGGGCCGCCAAAATGACAACACCAGTCACCGAATTGATGGACATGCGCGAATCCATCAAAACACGGCTTAGAAACATCCACGGACTTTTCTTCTTCGACAAGGTGCCAATGACCGGCCGCAACAAGCGCGACGACGATATAATCGATGCCCTGCATGCCCATGCCCCGTCCGGTCCTGTGGCAGCAGAGAGCAGTCTGGCCCATCTGATGCTTGCAAGCAACTGCTCGTGGGCCACACTTACTACAAAAGGACCGGATGAATACTGGAAGGGCGTTGGCCGCGTCAAAGGAGGCCAGATTCCGCTCAGTATCACCAGAGATCTAATTCTTGCGTTTGTCCGGGCCAGAGACCGATATCTTCACTGCTTCCCGCACAAAGCACCTCGTGATGTCAACAGCTTACTAGTCGCTTACACACAACACCTGCTAGAAAGGTTTCAGGCTTTGGGAGCGACGATGATTCTAGGCTCACCTGTCAATTGGTGCCTCTCTGCGGAGGACATTGAGGTAGCGGAATCGCTGGCTCCACGAGGACCGGCCAAGCAGCTGTCACGAAACAAGTTCGAGCTGTCATCATCTGCCAGAAATTTGCTCGTGCCGGCCAGATGTCTTAGCCCGATTGGGAAGTTCAAGAACGACTTGATGGGGCTCGCGCAGGAGATAATACAGCAGCCGCCTTGGCAGCGAGAGCTCACGCCGCAGTAGGACCAGGCGGACAGCCTCGAACCCAAAGCCGATGTGGCTGCGTCTCCCGGCAAACGCCTGCTGCAGAATAAAAGGAAAGCCACGGAAAGCCCAGAACGGGAAGCGATTCATGACTGTAAGCGGCGCTGCGTTACGCCGGTCGCTGCGCTGGATGAGGATGAAGACGAGCTCGCGGGGCCATCGCCTGAAAAGCCCAAGCCGGGTCAGATGCCCCAGACACCACCGCGAAGGATTATACGTCGCAAGCAGGTTTCGCCGTTTTTGCCTCGGCGAAGATGAGAGGCCATATCTGAGCAATTAGAGCAAACATGCAGCACGGCATCATTCGGTACTTCCAGCTATGACAAAGTTGCCAACGGGAATCAGCCAGAGGCCGAGACGAAACATTTCCGGTACATTCAGAAACGTGGATATACACAGTACACAGGGATTCTGTTCTCTACTTTTCAGAATAAACTACAAATTAAGCATAACTTAACGTTGCGTGATGAACCATGTGTCTGTGGGCCTTGCCCGTCGCCGCCCACGTGCATGGCTGCAGCATTGCGAGCCTAGCCCATATATGTGCATATTCATGTCCGGAAATTGAATAATGATGCTCGGTAATTTCATTGCTTGTAAGAGGTATCATGATGGAAATTGGACTAAAACAATACCGCGACAATCTTTACATGATTCACCAACTTCAAAAAGCCTAGGTTAATGCAGAACACGCTTTGCCTTGTCCTTGACAGTGCCGGGCTGCTCAAGCGCCTCCAGGGCCTTTTCGCGCTTGCTCTTGGCCGCGTCCCAGTTCTGCTGGCGACTCTCGAGCTCGCTCTCTGCGGAGCTGATGCTGCTCGTGCTGCGGTTGAGCACGCCGTGGAGCACCTTGCCCTCCTTCTTCTTGGCCTCGTACTGCGCGTCCTTCATCTTTTGCAGCTCGTCGTCCTCCCAGTGCATGGCGACGATGCCGAGACCAGGGAAATTGCGCTCGAAAAACGCCTTTAGGTCCGGCAGCACCGACTTGTCTGGGCGGTAGGTGCCCGAGTCGTTGTCGATGATGAGCTGGTAGTAGGAAGGGTCCTGCGGGGGCGCGTCCGAGGGCGGGCCGCCGGGGAGCTGGTCGTCGGCGGGGTGGGTGCGGAGGTGCGGGGGGTCGGCGTCGTCGGAGGCGGTGGGCCGCTCGAGGCGGCGGATAAAGAACTCGCCCGAGTATGCAATGTAGGTTTCGACGTCTGAGTGCATAGTGTGCTTGCTGAGGAGGTCGATGCCGAATTCCTTGCCCGTCTCGGTGAAGCGGAAGAGGGAGTCGAGGGTGAGGACGTAGGTGAAGACGCGGCCGCCCTGGTCGAAGCGCGCCATCTTGAGAAATTGTCGCGTGGCAGCCTCGGAGCACGGCGGGAAATCTCCATACTCGGTGCTGCGGTCGTAATTGTAGATGCGGTTGTGCTGCTTGTGGAGGGCCTTGTTGAGGATCTTGCCGCGGATGCCCGTGGACATGAACATGGAGCCGATGACGGGCCGGAAGGCGACGAAGCGGTGGTACATTTTGGGCGGTATGGGACCGACGAGCTGCATCTCAATGGCGCGAAAACTGCGACGATTAGCATGCTGCTGCGGAGATGTGCGCGCGCCTCGCAGAGGTCGCGACTGGTACTCACTCGTAGCGCTGATTCTTGTTTGCTTGCTTGTCCAAGCTTGAGCTCTCGCCGTTCGCGTGCTGCTGCTGCTGCTGCTGCTGCTGCTGCTGCAGTTTCTGGTCGCCTTGCGACGCCGACTCGCCCTGTTTTTCGTCGTCTACCTTTATGCCCGCCAACCTTCCAATCATGGGACTAAAATGCTGCACCCAGCTCGCGGGCCCGACGGTGTAGATTTGGCCGTGCGGCGGATCCGAGGGCCCCAGCAGCTCGATGCTAATCGTGACGAGCGGCGACATGTGCGTGTTGGACTGAAACACGTCCGTGACGGCCTTCAAAAGGTATGCGCGCTTGCTCATGACGCGCTTCTTGCCCTCAAACGTGCGACCGGGTGGAGGGATGCCTTCCCACTCGCTGTACAGTCGCGGGATGCGGATGGTGACGTTGCCGAGGCGGTCATCCTTGTCGGGCGAGTCCTCGTCGTAGAGGCGGCACTTGAGCGTGAAGCCCGTGGGCGGGACGTTGGCGACGGTCCATTGCTCGTTCCATTGCGGCTCGAGAGTGCGGCGCAGCGTGCGCGTGCGGTGCGTCAGATCCGGGTCCTCCTTGTGGCGCTTCAGGCCGGCGACTTTGAGGGTCGCGTGGAGGAAGGGATCCGAAGAGGCGGACTTGAGATCGCCGGGGGCGAGGTTGGAAGCCGAGTGGAAGGTGAAGCGGACAGTGTAGCCTTGCGGCGCGTCGGGAAGCTTGGTCGAGTCGAAGCCACCGCGCGGGCGTTTCTTGGACTTGGCCGGTTGGCTGTCTTCCTTGGAGGTGCCGCTCGGTTGGTTGTCTGGTTGTTCGGAGGAACCATTCACGTGTGCAGAGCCGTTAGCATCGACGCCGTTGGTCTTTTTGCTACCGATGGCTATCGTCGCCAGTGGCGGCGTTTGTGTCTGCGTCTGCTCCGTCATGATGGTCGCGGTCCAAGTTGGTGGCGAGGAAGCCAAGCCCCAACAACGGTCGAGAAAGCTTGGCAAAATGCTAAAAGACGCGGTAGCCAGCCAGGGCGGTTTGAAGAAGGCTGATCCTGGGATAAGAAAGAACTTAAGCATGACGGGTTACTGGGAAACAAACAAAATAGATTGCACGGGGGCGGAAAAGAAGAAATGACGACAGAGGCGTAAGGATGAGTATCGTATTGCACAGCGTCGATCGTGCATGCCGGCCAACCGGCCAACCGGCCAAACCTGAAAAGGGTCCAGGGCCCAAAGGCTCACGGGTCCATTTGCTGGCAGCCAAGGGCAGCTTGTGTCTAAGTCGTGTTGCGCTGATTACAGCGGATGAACCAGCGGGCACTAATTGTTTTTTAGCGGCCAATGGCCTGCCACTGCGCTGAAACGCACTGATGAATACCGGCGACTGGCAAGCTTTAGCGGGGACTTGCCTGTGACGCTAAAAATCAAGGCACAGTGGCGCATTACCACACAGCAGCTTCTTGGGGCTTAGTGCCACGTCGTCTTTCGTCATCACTTTCTTCAGGCTTTATGATTACAGTGCTGCCATTTTTTCCCATCTTAATTAATTCGCATGATGGAAGAGTACGCCGACAGATGGCCCTCCACATTCCAGGGAAAGCCAGCACTGCTGCCGGTCCAACGTGGTTTATTAGCACCGGGCTTCGCCATCGTTGCCGCGTCGCCAGACTCCGCCGAATCTGCACAGACGAAGCTAACGAGCCGTCCGAGCCGTGACGATTTGGTCAGGGAGGGGCCCTGTTCATGCAAAAAGCATCTGTCCATGTTCCATCAGACCTGCGAGCAAATCGACGACTACCGAGACTGGCAACTGGGTAACTAGTGATGGCCATGTGCGAAGATACCCTGTAATATAAGCAACCAACAATAGACTATTTACATGTAGACTATTATCATAGCTAGTCACTTTCGAGCACTCATTAAACAGTCTTTTCGACAGTGGCTGGCTCTCGGTCACTCAGTGATATTTGCACTACCTTCTCTCCAAACAGCAGCGCCTGCTTTCATTAGCGCGACGGGCACTACCAGATGGCCACCAGAAGACAATAAAAAAAAAAAAAAAGGAATGCAGATCAGGTAAATTGAAACGACAATGAGAAAGATGGCAATGCTAAAATCGACAGAGGAACAAGCAGCTCATCCTCATTGATCATGATCCCAAGCCTTGATCAAATGGTGTTGCAGTGTGCCCATTCGCGATAGTCGCTACCGAGGATATTACTTGTTTATCCAAAGAACGAGAATATATGTAGCCTTGGAATTGTGTGGCTAGCTTCATCGGTGATCTTAAATAATGCGAATCGTCAAGTTTCCTCTCGGTCAAGTCTTGGAATTTTCCTCTCTTGCCACCCCGATCACATGTTGTCATGGACGCTATCATCGCCGTTGGCGATACAATTGAAGAGCATCGCTGTACACGTTTGCCAATCAAGCTACTCATATCTTTTTAGTTCAGCGATACTGGTGCATATTTTTTTTTACTTTGGCACACTTTTCGACGCTTGCTTGACTTTGGTTCTCTTTATTTCCCGGTTATCGAATCTCCCTAATCTGAATTGGTCATTCCTATTCCAACGCACCAGCCTGTGGTGAGCTGGCTCAAGACAAGCCGGCTTAACGCTATCTAGACCTACGTCAAAAGAATAGCGATAGCTTTAGAATTACAAGCGTAGTAAAGAAGGACTCATCAGTAAACTAGGTAGTAGATGTAGTATACTAGAGATGCGTTCAGTGGCCTGTATTGTAAATTTACTATAAAGAAGCTAGACCTAGTATTAAAGGAAGGCTCAGGATATCTAGCTATAAATTGGCTAACAACTCTTACGTTGTGGTTAATAGAAAGAAACCCCCCGTTATAGACCTCCACATAGGTCGTCACATCTCCATATGCCATCTTTACCACTGATGGAAGTACTTCTCCTCAGAGTGTTCCTTGAACCAGGCGTCCATGTTGAGCAACTGCTCGAAATTATTGTCCTGGACCCCGGACCAAAACGCATTCATCCTACCCCTCGCCTCCTGGATGCCTGCCTCAATCTCCTCGTCGTGCTTTGAGCCAAACGCTCGTTTATGGAAGTACTTTGCATTCGCAACCCCATCGCGCGACTGGTACAGGCGGTTATCATTAGAGTTCTAGACCTTGGCAAGGAAGTCGTCAACCTCCTTGTCCTTTCCGTCCGGGACGTGGGTGCGGCTGAGCATCGTGAGCAGCATGTAGCGGGCGTAGATGTGGTTGGCCTCCTGCAGCGCACCTCTGCCCTTCTTGTAGTCGTCTCGGGAGACCATGCGCATGGCGTCGACGTCGTTCTCTGGGTCGAGGCCGCGCGAACGCAGGCAGGCGTCGGCGTCGTCAAACTCTTCGCCGTGATTGGAGTAGAAGCCGCGCAGGCAGTACTCAATGGTACCAGTGCAGTCCTCAATGAGCGTGGCGCTGCCGGTTAGCCACCAGACGTTGGGATCCTTCTTCCAGCAGTCGGCGCGCGAGGTGTCTGCCTCCTTAAAGGCCTTGGTGGTGGCGTCGGCGTCGTCGCGAGCCTCGAGCTGGGGAAGAGCGAGGGTGGCGGCGGCGAGCAGAGGAAGAGCGATGAAGGACTTCATTGTGATGGAGAAGTTGTAATTAGTTTCGAGCTTGTGGGAAGAGAGAACGCTGATGGAGAGGTTGGAGATCTGGGGATGTGATGCGGAAAGAGAGCTTCTTTATAGTTACAAAAGCTCTGTATAAGTAAGATATTAGACCTTAAATTATCTTAGCAACTGCGGAAACAACAGGGGCTACGTGAGGCTATACTCAGAGGATTGCTTGGTCCTATAGATATCGGCTTCTACCATCGAGTTATTGATGATAGTCCAGCTTTATTGAGAATACTCAAATGCTATAGATCCGCTTCACGCGTCATTACACTATATCATGCCAAGGCTTCGGTAGCAGAAAAGCTTGACGAGTCAAGTGGTGTCATATTGTCGTGGGGGTCACTGGTGCGGACATGAGAAAGCAACGCCTTTGCTGTGTTGATTGAGGTTGCTGCGAGACTTTTAGGGTTTTACTAAATAATGAATGTACTAGATTCTAGAATGCACTCGTTTCTACACACCCCAACCTATTATTTGGTGTGTTCGAGCTATGATACTTTCGTCAATTTGCAGAATCAGCCCATCAGTTATCCTAGCCTTAGATTTACTTTATGCGCTCGCATCATCCTAAGGCTGATAGATACTTTACCGAGTGTGGTCTTAAGGGGAATGGACTCACACTTAGATAGAAACTTACACCCACGTGCCGGTAGCTTGATTTGCTCTTGTCGTTGGCCTTGTCAGGTCAGCTAAGTGTTAAGGAAGAGATGAATGATGATAAATCACGGAGACCCGTCTTCTAGAACGGTTTCTAACAAACTTGTTAAAGAAATAATCGTCGGTGAACCCGATACTATCGAGCACTGAATAGCTCATATTAGTGGATATTCTTGGCCATGTGGTTCTCTCTCGTTGCCCTGGTTGTCTATATGTCATATTGTAAACTCTTTACTGACAGGCAGGCAGCCATCTGCGCTGCGATTGACATTAGAGAATGTCTATCAAACCGGAAGCCTCCGAGAATAGAAGAAATGATACTGAGCGCCCTTTCTGGAACTCTTCTTCCCTCTTTTACGCGTATAAGTAGATGAGATTAAGGCGCAAAATCAGAGTTCATTTTCGGTTAAAAATGGATACATGAGTCGACACCAGAAGAAGCAATCTTCTAGTTTCTGAGCAGGGTGTATCAGACCTTGCAATGGCGAATAGATTACCTATTATTGGTGCAACCTGAGCGGAGTTGATGTCGGCAATGCCCGATGACAAATTTGCTATCGTCAGTTCGCCTCAACATATATCCAGCCTTACCTAGTACCTGCGGGATGCCGACACTTAATTGTTCCTGACATTTTTTGTTGAGTACGCAACATGGGACTTTGAGTACTCTCTTGTCCCCGCGAACGACACGGTTCGCCGTGCCCTGCTACCCAGACAGGACGCAAACGTAGGACCAGGACGTGTCATTCTTTACCAAAGATGCAATCCGGGACAATGTCAAGCAAATTGACAAGTGTGCGGAGGGAGGGACGAATGCTAATTCATCATCAGAGTAGCAGCCTTGGACGGGAACTCGACAGCTACTTAGGAGGCTCTGTCTTCATAATAGAGCGCATGAAAATAGGAGTTAGGCCTTAAGGCCGAGATAACGAGATTCCCTTAAGTCTCTATTTCGGTATTTAAAGCGGAGATTTTCTTTTGCTTGCCAATCAGGGCGCTGCCCACAAAGGAGCCAGGGTTAAGATGTAGCCTCTGAGAAGCCGCTCGGGTTTATTGGTCTCTGCCTTATTCCGCTCAACAAGGAAAGACCCACATACGTGCTCGATCAAGGATTATCTGGCTCAAAGTGGCCAGAACGCCAGAAGGCTTGTAATTTAGGTCATCTTAATAGTATCTGTACAGTTTGTGCCAGTAGGCCGACCAATTGTCAAGAACGTGCTGCGCTGGTCGAACCCACAGTCTACACCTCCCCCGTGCAAGGGAGACTGGCAAGTTTTTCTTGGGAAATGAATCCAAATGAGCACACCTTTGCGGGCAGCTTGTGCATGTCCTGGTACTTAATGGGCGCGTGGGTTGGAGTACATTCGCGGTGTCAGGCATGAATGAGTATGAGATAAACACGTACGCACCCAAGTGGGTGACGAAAAAGCTGGCCCATTCGCCAAGGCGTCTACATCATACTTAGCGAAAGCTATATAGAATAGAAAATAGTAGAAAAATCTAAAAAACTTCTAAAATGCACAGGATATAATTTCATCACTAAAGTCTAATCTTATCATTATATAAAATGAATATATATTTCCTAGAGTTTATAGAGAGTTGATTAAATCTAGGTAGCTGCTAAACTTCGGTACCCTCATTATGGGCCATTTATTTTGTCACGCGCATGGCACCTTATAAGTTAGGCCTATCCCCTCGCCATCTGCCTCATCGGCGGTCCTGGCTCCTTGTCCATAATGGGCTTGCTCTAGGAGAGTGGCTGTCCAGTGATGGCAAGCTTGCACACAAGCCCTACCAAACACCACGGGTCGACCCGGGTACGCGGCCCGCGTCCTCTTGTTTGAGTCAAGATAACGCCCGCTCTCCGCACTTGTCAACCACCTATCCGGCTGCTTGTCTCATCAAGGTACCGGAACGTAGGTCATTGATATAAAAAAAAGGGAAAAAAAAAGTCAACATCTTCCTGTCTTTGTAAATTCCCCCTTGACTAGATGCGAGGCGAGACGTGTCGAGAGCGGTGAAACAAAACGTAATCATGTTTGCAAAAGCCCTGCTGTTGAGCAGCATCGCCGGCTTGGCTGCCGCCCAGTTTCCCCCGCCCGTGACTGGCGTCAAGACCCTGAAATCCAAATTCCACGAAAACGTGACCATCTCCTACAAACAGGTATGCTTCCCAGTATACTCCCTTCAAACTTTGAATATGGCCGATCCTCATCATTATTATAGCCCGGCCTCTGTGAGACTACCCCTGGCGTCAAGTCATATGCTGGCCATGTCCACCTCCCTGCCAGCCTCTTGGAAGACATTCACGGCGTCAGGCATGAATACGACACAAACACGTACGCACCTCATTCATAGCCTCTCGACCAAAGTCCAAGTCTAATTACTTGCAGCTTCTTCTGGTTCTTCGAGGCCCGTCACGACCCTGAAAATGCCCCGCTGGCCATCTGGCTCAACGGCGGTCCCGGCGCCTCGTCCATGATGGGCTTGCTGCAGGAAAACGGCCCTTGCCTCGTCAACGACGACTCCAAGACCACTCGCCACAATCCGTGGAGCTGGAACAACCACGTCAACCTGCTCTACATTGACGAGCCCAACCAGGTCGGCTTCTCCTACGACACGCCCACCAACTTTACCATTGTGCTGGACGGCGAGGGCGAGGAGGCCAGGACGGCGACCGACTTCTCCAAGGTTGCCGTGCCGGAGCTCAACAGCACCACCCGCGTGGGCACGCTGTCCAGCGGAGACAAGCTGCACACGGTCAACACGACCGCCGAGGCGGCGCACGCGCTCTGGCACTTTGCGCAGGCCTTTTTCTGGGAGTTTCCGCACTACAAGCCCAACGACGACCGCATCAGCCTCTGGGCCGAGAGCTACGGCGGCCACTACGGCCCGGGCTTCGCGCGCTTCTTTCAGCAGCAGAATGAAAAGATTCTCAACGGCACCTTGGACGACAAGACGGCTCATTATATGCACCTGGACACGTTGGGTATCATCAACGGAGTCCTCGATGCCACTCACAGCGAAGAGGCTGGCATCATCTTTCCGTTTAATAATGTACGTCTTCATCGCGTGTTTTTTTGCCAAAAAAAAGAAAAAAAAAAGAGATTAACCACTAACAACGTTTCTGCAGACCTACGGTATTCAGGCTTACACGCAAGAGTTTTACAATGAGCTCATCCACAACTTTACTAAGCCTGGCGGTTGCCGCGCCCAGATTCTGCACTGCCAGGACGTCCTCGAGGACCGCGACCGCATCACCATTCAAGATGAGCGCGACGGCGGCTGGAAAGCCATCTGCGGCATCAGCGACGAGTGCGCCTCGCCCAGCGAGACGGCCTTTCGCACCGTCGACCACGGCCGCTTCGACATTACGCACCCCAAACAGGACCCCTTTCCGCCGCCGCACCTTTACGGCTACCTGTCGCGCGGCGAAGTCCTCGAAGCGCTCGGCGTGCCCGTCAACTTTACCGCCACATCCTCGGCCGTGTCCAGCAACTTTGACGACTCGGTCGACTACCTCAAGCGCGGCTTCGTCGACGCCGTCGGCTACCTCCTCGACACGGGCGTCAAGGTGCACCTCTTGTACGGCGACCGCGACTTTGCCTGCAACTGGATCGGCGGCGAAATGTCGTCGCTGGCCGTGGCCCACGCGCAGGCTGCGAGGTTTGCGGCCGCGGGCTACGCGCCCTTGGTCTCGGACGCCGATGGCGGCGGCGTCGTCGGCGGTTTGACGCGGCAGCACGGCAACTTTTCGTTTACGCGCGTCTTCCAGTCCGGCCACATGATACCCGCGTACCAGCCCGTGCACGCGTATGAGATTTTTATGCGCGCCACCTTTCACAAGGATATTGCGACGGGCAGGCTCAACGTGACGGATGAGCTCGCGACCGAGGGCCCCGGAAGCACCTGGCATCACAGGACGAAGCGCTACCCGGCGCCGGAGCCTCGATGCTACGTGCTGGAGCCGGGTACCTGCACGGAGGAGCAGTGGGCCAAGGTGTATGCTGGCGCTCTGGTCAAGGACTATTATCTTGTCGAGGATGATGGTTTCGAGTCGATCGAGCTGTAAATGCAGCAGGTTTCGTATAGTGCATAACGTGGAAAAGTCGAATAAAAGTCTCGCAGTGGTGCTGTGCTGTGTTTGTTGCCATGTGCCTTGGCACTCATGTTCGAAACATTTCATTGCATGCTGTGCTGTATTCCATCGCCACAAAAGCTGCGCGAGGCTGAGTACCATATCAGCCGTCACACCTTGGTTTTCTTTTGTCGTCGTGGACTGCGTGTGTGTGCATTGCTCGCTTCAAGCCGATGCGTTTTGCCTAGGACCTACGACATGGCGCGACACAACGCCGTTGAGTCACCTGTGAAGGCAGACACAAATTGTTAGCAGACTTGGCTATTTTGCATTGGTGCGAGAACGGGGGTACGGCATACGCGACTCGGGGGGAGGGGGTTAATTCGCAGCTCTTGCCCTCGAGCATGTTTGTCCTTGTGTTGCCACCTGGCGCGGTGCCGTTACGAGCTTGCACGATTTGTGCAACGGCGTGTACTAAAAAAAATTCTATTTATCGCGCAGAGTTCTCGCATGACGCGATGAAAACAATCTTCTCCAATGCAAGAATTTGCCTGCCAAAAGTCCCAGTATGGATCATAATCCGGCCATGGATGCGATTGTCAACGATGGCTCTGATCTGTCGGCGGACCAGATTGCCACGCTGGTGGCCATTGAGCGCACCGGCGCCAGCCTGTCCATGATTGCCATTGCGCTGATTGCGGCCTCGTACCTCGTCTATCCGAAACTGCGAACGACGCCCAACACGTTTCTTCTCTTCGCCTCCATTGCCAATGTGGGCGCTAGCATCGCATCGATGATTGGGTACGATGGACTGTTGCAGGGTGAAGAGTCGTCGTTGTGCCAGGGTCAAGCCTTTATATTCGAGTGGTAAGAGGCAATCGGACGCTATTCAAGTTTCATGTTTCTTAACATGAAGTAGGTTCATGCAAGCCGATCCATGGTGGTCCTGCGCCATGGCATGCAACGTGTTCCTCGTCTTCTTCTGCAACGTCGATCCGGCAATGTTTACACGCTACATCTGGGCTTACTGTGTGGTCTGCTTTGGGGGACCTCTGATTCCGGCAATCACCTTGATTTCGATCAATGATCGATCTCGCGGACCAGTGTTTGGAGATGCAACTGTAAGTCTGCACACCGCGGGTAGGGGAGTGGAGGAGGGTGCTAATATGGACAGCTTTGGTGCTGGATCGGCCCAAACTGGAGTTTGGTGCGGCTCTACGCGTATTACATACCCATTTGGATCTGTATTTTCTTGTCCATCATTATTTACATAGCCGTTGGGTACCACGTCTTTCAGCATCGAAACCGTCTGCGTGGGGCGAGATTCCAGAGCCTGGATAAGAGTGGACGCCTACCGTCTGTGCAGACAACCGACGTCGATGACTCGGCCGAAGAAGTAAGCCGTGTCAATTGTGGTAGTGTTTCGGACGCTAACTGTAGTCAGTTTCGCCCTGCTCGGACTGGGTGCTATGGAATAGCCGTGACCGAAGTACATGTTGAGACTGATCTTTCCCCATGCGACGACCAAGGCCATCTAATACAACAGTCGCCCACTCATGTTGCTACCGTCTCATCGTCCGCCGCACATGTTATCGAGACGACGCATACATTGCACACAATGGATTCGATTGCGCGCACTTCCGTGTCAGCTGCTCAGAGGTCCAACAAGACTAGTTTCTCGCAGCAAATCACCAGGCTCAAGGAAACGGCGACATCGCGTCTGAGGCGACTTGACCCTGTCAAGATGGCATACCTTCGCACCAGCTTCATATTTGGGTTTACAGTGCTGGTGACTTGGATACCCAGCTCAGTGAACAGGGTGTACAGCATTGCCAACGATGGCCACATCAACTTTACGCTGAGCGCAGTCAGTGGCACGGTTCTGCCACTACAGGGCGTCATGAATGCGCTCATATACTTTACCACTAGTTGGAATACCGTTAGGAATATTTTCAAACGAGAAGAGGAAACAATCTTTGGACGGAGAGGCACACAGTACTGCACTCGGCGCCCTGCAAGAGCCCGGTTCGGGGCGGCCCTCGGAGGGAGATCATCGAATATTGGCCAAGAAGATCGCCGCCAGAGCATGCGTCTGGAAGAAATTGAAATGCAGGTACGACAACCAGATTCAACAAGATTTGACAGCGGGAAAAGATGAGCAGCGCAAGCAGGAGCAGGTTAGGAACTCGGTTGCAAGAAGAATTTTTTTTAATTAGTACAGAAACTATAGTTTTCCGCTTAATTTACTACCATTCTTCTTCAGTCACTGCTTATAAATGGCCTCGCCCTCGGCCGTGTCGACGCCCTCCTTGACAGCCTTGTCGACAGCCGCCTTGATCGACTCGTCACCCTCGAGCAGGTCAATCCAACCACTCTTGACTCCATCAGCCGCGAGCAGCGCGTCAGCGACGCGCGCAACCGACTCGCGCGGCACCTTGCCCTGGACGTGGGGAATCTTGCCGAGCACGACATTGCCGGCGGCGTCGTCGGAGAGGGTGCCAGGTCGCAGGCAGATGCCCGTCAGGGTGGCGCCGGGCTTCTTGGTCGCGGCGTACAGCGCCTCGTCGGCGGCAATCTTGGCCTGAAAGTAGGTGGCGAGGATGCCGTAGTTTACTTTTGTATTGTACGACTCCCACTCTTCGGCGGACCACCAGGGCGCGGCGGCGCGGCGCGAGCCGTTGTAGGAGACGAGCAGGAAGCGTCGCACAGAGGGCGTGGCGGCGGCGGCGTGGATGAAGCTAATGGCGGCGTCGCGGTCGACTTTGTAGGTGGCTTCGGGACCGCCCTTGCCACCGGCGCCTGGTTGAAATTAGTTGGTGTGTTTGGTTCAAAGAAGATTGGCGACGATGCAGAAAAAAAAAAGAAAAAAAAAGGCAATGGGATGAAGAGAGAGAGAGAGCGGCGGCGGTTGGAAACGTACCGGCGCTCCAGGCAATGTAGTCGGGCTTGACCTTGTTGAGAATGTCTTGGGCCTGCTGCTGGCTGGCAACGTCCTCGATGCTCTGGACGAGCACGTGCAGGGTGCCGGGCAGGCCGGCGCCGAGCTTTTCAATCGTCGGAACCTGCTCTTGCTTGCGGATGACGCTGGTGACGGTCCACGAGCGGCGGAGCAGCAGCGGGGTGAGCTTCTGGGCAATGTTGCCGTGGCCGCCGAGGATGAGGACGTGATGGGAAGCCATTTCTTTCCGTCTCGTCTTGTGTTGAATTTTTTGTAGAAGAAGGAAGCTATTTGGTGAATAACGGTAAAGAAAATATAGTTGGGAAAATAGAAATGGGAAATTGATGGAACGAGTTGTAGTTTTATTTTAAAAGATCTGGTGGTGCTGACCCCTCACATTGCGTCAAAGTGGGAATTATTAAGAAATTTTACCGCAAGCTTGGAGCTTTTTTGCATAAACAACTTGCGCAGATCATGACGCCATTGCCTTGCGACCTTGATGGATTTGTCAGAAAATGGGGGGGTTTTGTTGCGTGCCGATTGGATATAATGGGCTGATGAAGTTCATGTGAATTAAACGAGTTATCGGCGTTAGGCGATACCAAATTGTTCGATTTAGAAGCTCCCAGAATTGTCTAAACGCAATCTATGCTTGTCCTTTTAACGTGTGGGGGATGATGGGATTGAACACTTTCAAGTGCCACAAGAAACTGTGTGTGGACCGGCAAATCCTGTAGCGGAGAAAAATGGGCGAAATTGCTACGGATTCAGAGAGCAGTATTCATAAGACGACTTGTACACTATTTCATGGGCATCATGACAAGTTATACTGGTAATTTGGTAGCAACAACTCCGCTGCCCGCGTCCATGGAAATCTTGACCAGCTCAACCTTGCGCCGGATCGGGGCCCTTTTTGTGGCGCTTTTTGCGCTGGGGCTCCGCCCGGCGATCTTGCCGAACCAAGATCCACAAACCCCAGAGGACGGAAAGCTGGGTTTACTGGTGTTAGTATGAAATTAGGTTTCGCTTGAAAAAGCTGTGTCAGGCTGTTTTAATTCTCTTTGCAAGTGGAGCAAGTTTGTTTTTCCGTCACAGACAGAGAAGCACATCCCAAGAACGGCCAAGCATTTTTGCTTTCCCGTTGATTTTGGTTCTAAAAAGATGGGAACTTGCCTGTGTCTGGGGGGTGGGGGCCGGGGACATGACGGCTAGTTGCATCTTTGCAGCAACATAAAATGATGTGTTGTAGCCATAGTGAGCAAACTTTTTTTTTTTTTCGTCTGATCCAACATACGTCAAGACGCAGGTTATGAATGTATGCTCTTGCTCTGCGCGAAACGTGAAAGGACCCGTCCTCCAAACAAGTCCAACCCGTGCCCGGCTTAACAAGTTCCGGGCCGTCAAAGAGATCACCAGTTGAGCCACTGTGCTTCTTTTGCGCTTGATCGGCCTCTCTTCAACCACATCAGTAACCGTACTGATTGATCTTGTTTCTCCTTTGTTCAAAGAGAGAAAAAAAAAAAAAACGAATCCATTCTGGTGAAATATCGAAACACGGGATAGGGTAGTATAATCAAGAAGAGGCAAAGCGTTACAGGCGCAAAACATTCCGTCCTGTTCAATGAGCGCTCAGATGGCCTAGGAATTGTGAGTATACCCCAGCAAAAAGTATCTTTCAGACTGAAGAAATTTAACGCTAATGTTTTGATAGAAGTTTTCCGTCTCTGCTGCACGGGACAAAGATCAGCTCGCCACTACTCTGTCGTTTTGCCTGCCGCTGACCACTGTACGCTTGTACGACGGTCGGGAACCTTCTATAACAGCCAAGCCCTTTTAATATTGCTCTGGACAAAGAAACTCCAAGTATCACACAGTCTGATCAGCCTCAAAACCAGCTCGTCACTATACTCTGCTATTCTGCCGCTGCCCACTGTGCTCTTGTACGACGGTC